CCTTCGGTTGTAACATATCTACCTGGCGAGGAAACAAGGTAGCTACAACTTTTCCCAAGAAAACCGGCCAAGTGGGTGGTCGTCTGAACATACCCCTGAGTCTGGCCGTTACCAGCTTATATGGGCGTCCCCTGGGGTCAGCATCCACCTCCTCCCCTAGCTCTCTCCAGCAACGACACTTACTAATCTAAATGGCTTTTGTGAATGCTCTTCTGGCGTCCAGATGTTGCTTCTTGAGAAATTCATAGTTTGGACGGCTCCAGGCGCGCTGTGCCAATCTACGTGTTCGGTGGCATTCCCTGCGAAGTTCCGCGATCTCGTCAGTACACTGGAGGACGGCGTTCTCACCTTGGACCTTTTGTCATTGACGCATCACAAGCGTCAAATGTGTGTGTGTGTGTGTGTGTGTGTGTGTGTATATGTGTGTGTGTGTGCGTGTGTAATAGAATAACCAAATAAAAATATTTATTGGGTCACATATGCTATTACAGTCGTGCATGATGAGTCAGATATGATATATTTAGAGGGAGTACAATCACATACATCTCGGGAGCAGCGAGTGAAGTTACGTTTATTTTTATTGTCCAAAAGCAAAACAAGGGGCCATCTCAGCATTTGCTCAAAGGACCAGAGAAACTGGACAAAAAACCTGATCAAAATGGGGTAATTAATTTAAAATATTTTATCATTTGAAGATTTATACCATTTAATTTTTAGAATATCATTTTCTTCATATAGTGATTTTACTGCTACTACTGATGGTAGTGGTAGTGGTGGTGGTGGTGTTAGTAAATAAAAATACAAGCCACTTGAAGTAGGTTAAGTTTTTTGAAATGAGGTCTGGAGGACTCTGTTTTTTTGTATTTGTTATTGTTCGAATTATTCTTTTTTGTATTTTGAATGTTTGTTTAGCTTCTGGTGCTTGGCCCCATATTATTATCCCATATTTGAGAATAGAGTGCAAATTTGCAAAGTACACGGTTCGTTCTGTCTCAATGGTGCAATTTTTATTATCATTCTAAGAGCATAATTAAGTATGCTCAATTTTGAATTAATATCTTCGAGGTGAGAGTTGCATTTGAGGTTGGATTATATGTTGATTCCTAGAAACTTTATTTTCTGTGCTTGTCTGATGCTGTTTATTTCTAATGTTAAATTTGGTGAGTATTGTTGTGTTGAGTGGGAGTTGTGGAAGGGTATTGTGATTGTTTTGTCTCGGTTTAAGATTAGTTTATGGTGGATCCATTGAACTAGCTTGTCAATGGCTAAATTGGCTTTGTCTTGCAAAGTTTTGTTTGTTCTTTCTTTGAATATTATATTATTGTCATTGGCAAAAAGTATGGTTTAGTTGTTTTTCATTATTGATGGCAGGTCATTTACAAATATATGAAATAAAATTGGGCCTAGTGTGGATCCTTGCGGAACTCCATATGTCACATTCTCTGGCTCGGAGTGATGGTTATTTATTTTGTTGTCTTTTTGGTAAGGTAATACTACTATTTGTTTTCGGTCTGATTGGTATGATTTTATCCAATTGTAAGCAATTCCTCGTATTCCATAAGACAATAATTTTTTACAATAGAATTGTGTGATCTATCGTGTCAAAGGCTTTTGACAGGTCGAGAAAGAGACCAACAGGAATTTCTTTTTGTTCTAATGCCATGAGGATTTCATTTACAAAGGTGAATTGAGCAGTTTCAGTTGAACAATTCTTCCTGAATCCATTTTGAGAGTTGGTGATAATGGTACAGTGAATCAAGTAGTTTTTTAATCTCTCATAGAACAGTTTTTCTAATATTTTTGAGAAACCTGACAAGAGTGAGATTGGCCTATAATTCATTACATCTTGTTTGTTACCTTTTTTGTGTATAGGTTTAATTACAGCAGTTTTAAATATGTTTGGGGAGGAGCCATGAGTTAGTGATTGGTTGTATAAATATGTTAATGGTTTGATATATGGAGCAATCTTTTTTATTAAAAAGTCTGGAATGTCGTCTATCCCAGCGGATTGGTAATTTTGCATTTTGTTTATAATTTGAAGTATTTCCTTTTCTGATGTTTCTGTAATGTACATGCTAGAAAGCAAGTTTTTAAAGAAAGGTGATTGTTGTAGAGGTGTAGTGTTTGGATTTCTTGTTTTTAGTAGTTTACCAGCAATTTCAGAGAAGTGTTAGTTGAATATACTGGCTGTTTCATTAGGGTTTGTTATTCTTGTGTGTTCATGAAGTAGTTCAATATTTTGTGTTTTGTTATTTGCTGGTAATGTTGTTTTTTTTACAATATTCTACATAGCGTTTGTTTTATTTTTGGATTTTTTTATATACTCCTCATTCAACATATGTTTGGCCTTTTTTTAACTTTTTTGAGTATGGCTGAATATCGCTTATAGTAGTTCACTTTTTTAGGATTGCATGAGTGTTCTTTTGTGAGTTTATAAAGCTCTCTTTTTCTTTCACACGGAATTTTAATACTCTTGTTATCCATGTTTTGCTGTTTTGTATGTTGTTTATTTTGTGATACTGTAGTGGATGTGAGATGTTGAAATAGTGTTTGATTGTATTGAAGAAAGTGTTGAACTTGAGGTTGATGGCAGATATTTCATATACCCCTGACCATGATTCATTAGTTAACAGTGAGATGAGATTGTTCAAATTTTTTTTTTATACTTCGTGGTCTCCTTTATTAGGTTTGCTTTTGGTGAGGTGGAATTTATTTTGAGAGTGAGTAATTGAGCATTGTGGTCACTAAGCCCTGTATCATTAGGGTGATTGTGTATGTGTGTTTTGTTTTGTCTCAAAGGATCTGGTCTATTGCTGTTTGGGAGTTCTTTGACTGCCTGGTTGGTGTCTCAACTACTGCATCTAAATTATAGGAGCGTACTAAGTTTATTAGTTTGATTCTCTCTTTCATGAGTAGTATTAGCTGTAGGTAGGAAGTCAATGTTTATATCGCCACAGATTATAATAGAGTAATGAGCCCGCTTTTTTTAATTTATCCAAAATTAATTCTAAGTTTTTAAAGAATATTTGAAGATTTCCATCTGGTGCTCGATAAATGCTTAGGAGGAAGATGTTCAGCTTTTGAATTTCTGCAATTGAACATTCTATGTCTGAGTCACATGTTATTTGTTTGAATTCATTTACTTCTTTGAATTCACAGTTGTTGGTCAGATATATGTATTCCTCCATGCGTATGATTGATATTGGTGTAACGACAGAAGTAACCAGCCAAGTATAAACCTGGTATTTGTGTCATTTTAATTTGATCTTCCATAAGCCAGTGTTCAGTTATACAGATTGCATTAGTATGTTTTATGTGATATGTTCGCATGATTTCTATTTCATGTATTTTGTTTTTTTAAGGATCGAATGTTCTGATGTAGGATCTTAAAGATGCTGTGTGTATACAAAGATTCTAACCCACTATAATTAGTGAGTGTAACAGAATGGTGATTAACTTGTTAAATAAATGTAAATATTTTATTGATTGGTTTCTGTTACTCTGACCAGCTTAGGTCGAATATATCGTGGAAGAACTTCATAGCTGAGTAATTGTTCTAACTTTTGTGATGAGATCTGAAACATAAACAAGTCTTCAATAGAGAATATAGAGGAATCTCGTAGGTACGTTCCCCGCATAGTTCATTTTTTCCCGCCTAGTACGTTCATATTTTCAAGTCCCTGTCCCAACTGCATTAAATGATCGTTTACGCGGTTAACAATCCCACTTAGCACGTTTAAAGTTCGTAATAGGAAACTTGCTTCGCCAGAAACCGCGTTTTCCAGTGCACCAACTTCGTTGTTTCCGTGGTATTTTGGGTACTACTTTCACTTTGTGTGTTCACTTTGTGTTCACTCCGCACCATATATATTTCCTTTTTTCTGTTCGGCCTGTTTCACAAAAGCGTTGCGTTGACACGCGTTAAGTATAACGCTCATGCCGGTAGCTGTCGGTGTCTGCGCTCACCTGTTACTTACCGCGCGTCGTAGTTTAACACATCTTATGCAGCCCGACACACGAGCGTTCTTTGCGACGTGTGTTGTGTCTACAGTTCAAGCAAGTCGCGCAAGCTACGATAAGCTCGTTTTCAACGCGCGACGCAAGTTTGCAACAACGTACGTCACCTAGAGTGCTCGAGTGTCGATTCGCATAAGATAGTGCTAATCTACGACGCGCGTTGGGCGTCTCGTGTGCACAGGCATCCACGCAACTGTCATCAGCCGTAGGTAACCCGTCAACGCACCCGCATTACTTTGTGTTCTTTTTTTTAGTATGTATTAGTTCATCCCATTGATATTTGCATGACACTTACATATAGTACGTTTTCTGTATTATAGTGATTTGCAGAGGGAAATGTGAAAAGTAAGTATACCTCGAGTATTTTTTGTTAGCACATTTTCACACTTACAACGTTCAACGTTTCCGGGAAAACTAACGAGATTCCAATATATTAAGTTTAAAGACAAATTTTTTGATTTATTGAAATTGTGTGTGTGTGTTTTTACTGTTACATCATTTTGACACAAAATGAATGTTTTGAATTATGGATGTTGCATGCTTGGCTGGGGACGTTTACTGTCAAACATTTAAAACCAGCAATTTTTTACACCCTGAAATATTCATAAACATGATGAAATCACACTTAGTTATGTTTAATATATGCATCATTTGCTCTCCTATTGTTTTCTGTCTACTTTTCTTGTTAATAAGGGGTTCTTGTGTTAGAAGCTTCTTAAATTTTGAACACTAAAAAAACTTCATAACTTTGTGTTGCTGAACATTTAGTAGAGAATATATTTATGAACATGAAAACTTTGTTCCAGTCAAAAGAATCTCCTCCTGTCAAAAAGAAAACCACATTTGATTTCAATCGTTTGGGGCCGAGGCATAAGAATCCAAATAATTGTTCATTGGAATTGAAGAAAGTTCCACGTGGGTTAAATAATATTACTCACCTTAATAATCATTTTGCGAAATTTGGGAAAATTGTCAACATTCAGGTATGTATATCTTGTTACTTGATTGCCTGTTAGTATTTATCTCTTCTCTAGTATAATTTGATATTAATTTCTTACACTTGAAAGATATGTTGCCAGTTTTTGCAATAAAAGTTTATTTGTGGCAAATTTTATTGTACAATACAGGTAAATTTGTATTTACCTTTTTAACACATGAACATTATTGTTTATGTGTACAAAAGAAAGGGAGTACAATCTTAGTTTTTGATTGAATTTTATCAAACTCATTGAAATTATGTTAATTTTCAATTCTGATCCCTCCAAAAATTCTCGCAAAGGCATGGAGGGAAGTAGACCAGCTCATTATTTAAAACTCACCTTCCTATAACCACAGTAATGAAGATAGAAATGTTTCTTCTTAATGAAATCTGTTCTCCAAAATTAGATCATGTCTGATGTTTATTAATAACCTTGAATTTTTGAAAATTGCCGATGTTCAACTTTGTTTTTGAAGCATTTGGAATGTTCATATGACAACTCGGATATTGAGGGTAGTAGATAAGTGAAGAGCTTGTGAAATCTGATTCAAGTTGGAATCTCAGCATAGGAAAACATGTTTGTGCATTCAAGTTTTTTATATTATATAAATGATAAAATAATGTGAGAGAATATGAGCTGTTGAAGGACCCCTAGTTTCACAAAGAACATAAACGATTTTAAACTGAGGCAGTGGTTAAAAAATGCATAGGCACAGGAACTGTATGTGTTGCGCTCATGTGTTTATATAAATACCAGAATATAAACCAACCTGCTCAACTTACTATATTTACGTGAATACAAATTGATTCTAAATGTAAGTTGACCCTGTAATTTCAAAGAAGTCTCTGAGAACTTTTTAATTTTTTTAACTAATAGATATATTTTGTATTTTTAATCCGTTTTACTATTATTCTCTGTTGTTATATCAGTATTTGAGTTTCTTAACATGGTAAGGCAATGTAAAAACAAATCATAACAGCCTAAACTTAACATGCACATATAAAACAACCCTGTGTTTTTCAAAAGAGATATTACTCAAATGAGCACTACTCAGTGCTTCCAACCTCCACAACCTCCTCGGCTAGCCATGATTGCCCATGGGCACCCATGCTTGGGAAAGGCTGAGTTGGAACAGCTTGTTCTAGATAACAATATCTTAAACGCTATGAAACATTACTGTTTTTTTTGCTAGTATTTCAGGAGTTGAACATAAGTGTTGTAATCTTTATTGTTGTTGTTTTAATCTATTTACTTTCCACGTTTTAATATACTTGTGTTTATTTTCACGTTTTTCTTTATAGGTGTCTTTTGAAGGAGATCCAGAGGCAGCTCTTGTTACATTTTCTAGTCATGCTGAAGCAAATGCAGCATACAGAAGTACAGAAGCTGTTCTTAATAACAGATTCATTAAAGTCTTCTGGCATAATTCTGCCAATAATAATGAGGTATGTTTAAGACCAGATAGTTATATAATTTAAAAGCAATTTTTGGATAGAAAAAGTGAAAAGTTCTCCTTAGAGCCTCCTTGAGAAGATTAGGCGTATTTTAATTGTTCATAATAATTCACCTTTAATCCCTACGTTAATGCACACTGAACTGCATCTAAAGTGAGTAATTTTCTCAACAAGTCCCACAAAGATGTGAAAATGCTTCCGTTGCAAGTTCTGGTCTTTAGATCAAATGGAATTACAAGAACTGAATACATTATATTAAAAATTATGAAAATATTCCAAAATTAAATAATACAATTGTGTGGAGAGTGGTTAATTTCGCTTTGTGTAACTTTCAAGAAAAAACTTTTTTAATTCACTAGAGCTTTATCAAATCTGTAGTTAATATGTTGATGTAAATACTATGTATTAGTAAATATTACTTTCTATTACTCCAAGCAAAAGTTTCTAGTTTTTAAACACTGCCAACCTTCTTGTTGATATCTTTATTTATAATTGAACTATGTAAAATAAAAAAGTTGGAGCTGTGGAACATAGGTGCAAATTACATATGTATGTATGTCACAGTTTGCATATGTATTATCTTACAGTTTTCCCATTTTAACAATAAGTGGTTAAATAATCAGTACAAGTAGCTAGAAATATTTCAAATTGATTATTGTAAATAGTAACTTGCCCCAGTCACTTACTTCTTTTATAATGTTCCGTTTTTAACATGATATTCTTGCACTTATCTGTTCACTAATGAAAATTAGAAGCATCGTAAATAACAAAATATTATTTCAAAATGTGTGCATGAAGTTTTTGCTTTTACTTGTTTTGTTCATCAGACACTATCAATTATAGACTTGATCGTCCCTGCATTCAACGAGAGCTCGCTTTGTTGGATCTTACATGCATATTGCAATATTGATTATATTTAATTTCATTAGATTCCCACCTTCATGAAGTTTGGTGACAAGTCATAATTCTCTTATCCATTTTGGAGAAATTGAATATAATATAGATATAAGTTAAAAAATTGAATGTGGAACTATGTGTCAGAAATTGTTAAACTCCTAAAGCCTTAAAACTTCAACCAATTACTAATAAATAACTCATGAGGGAAACACTCACTTTCATTCATGGTATGATTTTGGCTCTGTGGGGGATGCTGCATTGAAAGCTGTGATGCCAATATTTTTGACATCTTGCTGTGGTCTTCCCCAGATACCTTCACTTCACCTGGAAAGCCACCTTTCCAGGTGAAGGTGTGGCCATGGAATTATTCATTTGTTAGAGTAACCAAATATCTCAGCTAATGCTTCACAGTGCTAGGTGATACTTGTTTCTGTATGATGTATCAGAAATCATAATTTTCTCTCTGACAATTACAACAATTATTGTATTAAATTTTATTTCTTTAATCAGTCTCCAGTCTTTATCAGTGTTGATTGAAGATGTTTTCCATTGCACAGTTGCATGATTATTTTGAACACTCATTGTAGTTTTATTGTATTAAATTAGTTGTTTTTGCTGATTTGAAATTCTAAAGAGTTTTAATTAGATATTCTAGTAGAGAGTTCTCTTCAGATCTATGGTGGGCAAAAAGCCTTATAGTTACACCTCTGTGAGAAAAATGCTGGAAAAAATTCATATGAATAAGTATTGGTAACATTAGTACTTCAGAGACCTAGTAGAAATATACCTACCCATATCATTTATTGTTTTTATGTGAAATCTTAATTAACCTTTTCCAGGCAACCTGGGTCCTTTGGACTCGAAAGCAAGATATTAAGTATTTTACGCATAAACCATGTTCTCCTTGTTATACACTGGTTCCCTTAATAATTTTATGAAAGAGATACTGAATAATGGATTAAAAAATTGATTTTGCAACTCCAGTTAGACAAGTCAGGTCCATTGTACCCAAGTTTCATAGTCTGCAAGTAATGTTGCATTTTATGCTTTTGTTTCACCCTATTTTGACAAAGTTTGTGTGCAAGGGTAGATAAATTCTAGGCCGTGGAATATTTCACCTAAAAAATGATTCTGAAAATAAAGCCTTCAGATTTACAGTAGTTAAAGCTAGTACAGGTATCAGGAAAGTACAGTTTTGAACTTGGGTGCAGCCCACTTGCATGTGGCCTAACTTATTTCGGTAAAATGCAAAAAATTCTCAAAAATATAGATTGTCATGAAGATACACCCCTTTTTAATGATTTCAAAAGATTGCTGAGTTTATTTTGTACTTTTTGACATTAGATTTGGTTGCTGCTTGATAATTGCTTTCTATTATGGATTGTAATTTCACTGTATCTGGTAATGAAGAAGTGGTGTAGAGTAAATGCTCTTCGCTAACTCATACATACCTACTCGTCTAAAAGACTCAGCAGTTGCAGCTCATTTACATTTTTTATTAACACACTGAATGTGTGTGACGTGTGTGTGTGTGTCTCTCATGCTCACTCTCTCTGCTTCGCTCGTTCTTTCTCTCTCTTTTCTCTCTTTCTCCTCTCTTTCTCTCTCTCTCATCTCTTTCTCTCTCTCTATCTCTCTTTTCTCTCTCTCCATCTCTCATCTCTTTTCTCATATCTCTCTTTCTCTATCTCTCCTCTCTTTTCTCTCTCTTTTTCTCTATCTCTCTTTCTAATCTCTCTCATCTTTCCTCTATTTCTCTCTTCTCTCTCTCTCTCTCTCTCTCTCTCTCTCTTCGTCTCTCTCTCCTCTCTCACACAACTAAGACGCGCGCGCGCGCGGATATAATTCATTTTACGGGGAGGCAGATATATCAACATCCCGTTTATTATAGAGCCTATATTTGTTCGTTGAACAGTTGTGATGAAAGTGGCGTTGCTTCCTTCATTTCTGTTTCAATGATCAATGCAAAAATTATCTGCTTTGCTAAATCAGAACACTTTAAAAAGCATTATGGACGATTTTAATTAAACCAGTGGTCATTAAACGTCGATCATGTTCTGAAAGTTTTTTTTTTTTTTACTTTTTTATAATTTTTATCAAATTTTAAGTGTTTTTTAGGGTAAAGTGTGTTTCCCACTTACCTGGAAACAAAAAGCATTCCAACAGCAAAGCAAATGGGAAGATGTTAACTAAAATTCATGCTCACCTTTCCAAAGTTCCAATCAGGAGATGGAAGGGCAGTTTTTTGTGTTTTTGGGCCGTTTCAAAACAATTCAACATAAACTATCAATATTTGTATCATATTTTTAAAAAAATCATGGTTTGCAGAAAAAATACAATCAAAATGAATGGCAATTTAATGGTATGAAACATGATTCTCTCTTGGAAGATATTACCACCTACTTAACAGTGGAATTGCTTCTCATGGTTGATTATTTCAGGTCGTCGTAGGCCAAGAAAATAATTTTTAAAATATGTATAAAAAGTAATATAGATGGATTGGGATATCCATCATATTAATGTAATATTGTTAGAGTATGAATGGTAAGTTTTTTTGTGACTAGATCCTCACTAATTGTATTTTTTAAATACTGCTTTTCATGATAAGATCACTTTAACAATAAAATATTCAACAGAAGGTTAATGAAATGTATCAATTAGTACTGGTGTATAATTATAACAAATTAACTCTATCTGTTGTTCAAATTGAAGATGGTTTTGTACTCGCGAGAACTGAAATGGAGAGAGCATTATTTCGCAGATTTATCATGAATACATGAATGGATGTGTGTGATTTGAAAAATTTATAAGAGATAATTGATTTTGTACTTATGTTCTTGGTATTCATTTCCACTCCTTTTGCCTTGAAATTTTCTCCTGATGCACTTCGCCTTGCAACTTGAGATGGAAACATGTATCGCCATTGAAATCCTGTCTTAATCTCATCACTCTTGAACATTTTACCGTTTGCCATTTAATTTAACTGCAGTTGGCAGGGCAACCAAGAGAAGGGTACCTCCCCCCGGGCCATCTGTTAAAAACGTTTGGGTGTCCCAACCAGTTCAGAAACACTAAAAGTTCTTAATAAGTTGAACCCAAAAGCGACATACTGGTTCACAGAGCAACAAGAATCGTTTGAAAGGGTGGGTGTGGTGCTTCCAAAAGTGGTCCAATATAAATATCCTCTCGTCTTAATATAGAATTTATTAATATTCATAGTGGCAATCGCTGAATCTTTTTTCATGGGTGTAGGTGACAGTAGCCTGATTGTTTCTTCTGAGTAAGCTTTTTGTAAATGCATTAGTGGATTGATTCATCTTCTCAGCGTTTCGTGTATCTCTCGTCATCTCTCTTCTTTCTCTCATTGTACTTTTCTCCGTTTTCTCTCACCTCTCTTTCCTACTCTGCTTCTCTTTCTCTTCTCTCTCTTTCTTCTCTCTCTCGTTTTCGGTCTCCGTCTCTTGTCGTCATTCACTCTCTCCTCTCTTTCTCCTCTCTTATCTCTATTCTCATCGTTCTCTCGGTCTTTCTCTCTGGGAATCGCTGCGGTCTTGTTCTCTCTCCCGGTCTCCTCTCTCTCTCTCTCCAGGTCTTTGCTGGCATCGGACGTGAGCAAGTGCTTTCTCTCACCATTCGTCATCTTCTCCGTCTTAACGCGTCTGCTTTCCTCTCTCTCCCGTGTGTGTCTCTCTTCCTTTCTCTCTCAATCTTTTCTGCACTCTCTCTCTTTTCTTCTATTTTTTCTCGTATCTCTACATACCCTTTCTCATCTTCCTGGAAGTCTCTCTCTCTATCGGGTCTCTCTCCTTCCGTCTCCCGTCTCTTCGTCGCTCGCTCTCGATATCTCCTCTCTCTTCTACATCTGCAGATTCTCTCAGCGGTCTCTAAACTTCGTCTCTGTAGACGAAAGCAAGCCCCAGAATCGAGGATGCGCTCAGTGACTCTCCTCTAGCTCGTCGTGACCTCGACGCCTGCTACGCTCTGCCCTGTCTGTCGTTCGTCGCGTCGTCGATCAAGAACACTCAACACGCGGTAGGACGGCGGGGGGGGTGGTCGTCTGCGCGTCATTTAATCTTCTCATCTTCTAAAATAAA